AAAAATAAAGAAAATCATAAAAAATATAATATTCATAAAAAAATAGTGTCGCTTGTTGCATTAATTCCTAAAAATCATATATTAATTTTAGAATGTAAAATATAAATAAAAATGTAAATTTTGGTATTTTATATTATATCGAAATATGCTCTTAAGATTTTGTATTTTTAATAATATTAAAACAATATTTTAATCTTTTTAAATATATCTTTTTGATACCTAAAACTAATTTTTGCGACATATAATGTCCAAATTACTTTTCTTATTAGTTAAATAAAAATCAATATCTATTATATATAATAAATGTGATGAAGCAAGCACGTGTCAACTAATTTTTATCTCTTTATAGTACCCTTAACTATTTATATTTTTTACTTATTTGTTATCTACTATTTTCTCTTACTTAGGGCTTAAGAAAAAAAAAGGTTTAATTTGTGTTTCCATTTATGTTATTTACCTTTTGTACTTTTTATTTACGTGTTATGTACTAGTTTTGTGTTTCTATTTATGCCCTTATAAATTTTTGTATTTTTAATCTACTTGTTATCTATTGTTTTATTTTACTTAAGTCTTAAGAAAAAACAGTTTAATTTGTGTTTCCTTCTATGTTCTTCACTTTTTGTACTTTTTACTTATTTGTTATCTACTATTTTCTCTTACTTAGAGCTTAAAAAAAGTGATCAAATTAAATAATATTTGAATTACGTTCTGAACGTGGCTTCCAAATCTACAAAACTCACCCCATCAAAATAAATTGTGCGGTCTAAATGTTAAGAAAAATAATAGAGTATGACGATTAGTTAGAACTTATTTGTTTACATCATAAAATTATTTTTCTAATAGACAATAAATATAACAATCAAATTCATGCAATTGCACGTGTCTACTTTTACTAGTTTCTTAAAAAAATGAAAATATTTTAAGACATTAAAATATTTAAAGGAAAATAATAAAATAAAAAGTTCATGATTTTTTTTTCTAGATTTATTAGATTTTGATTAAGTAAAAGAGTGCTAAGGTCATTTTACATCTTAAAAATCAACTTCAGAGTACAAGAATATATTTTTAAAAATGTTGAGGTGTCATTTTAATATTATCAATAACACAAGATATTAAAAGCATATTTTGCTATATACATTGTCGCTTACGTTCATTAACATGAAATATATCAGTCAATATACATATTTTTATGCTATGTGTTTACTTAATTACTATAAAAAATACATATTTTGAAGATTAATATACATTATCGTTTCTTATAACTTAACATATACATATTTATATGTAAATATACACACCTTATATATAAATATACATGAAAATAACAGAATTATACATCTATCATTTTAGTCCGACAAACAATAATTACCAGATTAAAGACCTTGCCTATATATATATATATATATATTAATATAAACCTTAATAAATAAATAAATATCACTCACTGGAGAAGGCCAGGTTGTTGTCGGCTTGTCGCAAGACAAGGGAGGGGGTGGGTGGGTCGCATCATGTATTTACACGTAATTACATAATTATTTTCAGTCTCAAATATGATAAATCATGCATTTACAAAAAAAAAAAGGAATTATTATTTTGACTTAAATTTGATAAATCGTTTATTTTGCACATAAATACTTAAATATTTTCAGTCTCAAATTAGTAAATTGTGTATGTA